TTTCCCCTTTTTTAATATTTCCATTCGGCGATATAAAGGGCGTACCTAATATACCTCTCTCTTTTTAAACAGCTGTTTCTCACTCCATCTCACGTAAGGTCCATACCGACCATAAAATTTTTCCTACACTGTATATATATATATATATATATATATATATATATATATATATATATATATATATATAGGTATATATATATATATATACATATAAATTTATAAAATGTAGTATACAGCATTGTTTGTACTCAGTGTGAAGCTGAGTATATTGGTGAGACTGAAAGAAATCTCTCAAATCGCATTATTTCTCTCAAGAGTGATGATTGCAGAATTAAGAAACCATCTTGTGCATTGGCAGAGCATGTAATAGACAAAGACCATATTATGGATTTTGATAATATTAAAATTTTATGTAATGAAAGTAATAAATTTAAAAGAACTTTTTTGGAAATGGTTTGTATTAGCAAAAGTGATAATAATTTAAACAAAAGGTCAGAAATTCAAAATCTAAGCAAAATTTATAATTATATTATTTCTATGTAATTTATATATGCAGTCAATAAAATACCACCTTTTGAATTTTCCATGTATTTGTTACATTTTTACGGGCATCTATCAATGGTGAATAAATCTTCTTCTTTTTTGTTACTAAACAAAGAAGAATTTTTAAAACAAAATTTTATTTTTGACAATATGTCAAAAATTAAATTTTTAAGTTAGTATTTATGACATTTAGGCTGGTTTGTAGCTATTCAATTTTTGTTTACAAATTCAATTGTTTTTTGTTAACAAACTTTATCAAAATTTTTCAGAGAAACATTTATTAGGATAGGACATTTTTTATTAGTATTTTTGTAATTAATATGTAAGCAGCAGTTTTATATAAAAAACTAATTTTATTTGGTGAGTTAACAAAAAAATTTTTATTTCTAGTTCAACTTTGTAAGATATTTTGTATTTTTTATAAGCTCTTGATAATAATTGTAATCACAATTGAAAGCTCGAGTAAAAAATAGTCAACAAATAGCCCCTTTTATTGACTCCAACCCATCCAAAACAGTTTTATATTTATATATATATATATATATATATATATATATATATATATATATATATATATATATATATATATATTTATATATATATTAATATATATATATATATACATATATATATACAGGGTGGTCCTTAAGTAATTGTACAAAAAGAAACCGTAGATTCTACACTTTAAAATATTACGATTTAAGTCAACTTGCTTGTGTAAAATGTTGATATTAAGAAAGATACAGGGTGTTAAAGTAGAAATTTAAAATTTTATTTTTCGCTGTAACTTTCACGTTTGTGAATATTTATGGACAAAAATTTATAGTTAGATGTTTTTTAGTAGGAGCAATTATAATTTGGTGCATAATTTGATGTAACTAATAGAGGGCGCCACATATGCCACATAAGTGGCATAAATTTGTGCCTAATTTTTTTTCTCTATAAGTAAGCCTTATTTTTAATAAAAAATGTTAAAGACACATTATTTTTACAAAAAAAAGGTATACTTGTTAATAACTCCAACATTCAACCGTTTTGGAGATAATCGTATTGTATAAGTCAGCTGCATAATAATTCTTAGTTGTTATAATTTTGCGGTAAAGCACTGAATGTCTGTGAATTAGTTAGAAATAGTTGTCAATAAATTCCTTTCAAACTATAATCAAATTGTATTTTTAATCGTCTTATTTATTTTATATAATAATTAAATTTACTATCAAATTAATGACCGAATACCAAATTTATATTTCAATAATAACTTAATAAGTCTCACTTTGACGGGTCTGTATTTTGTTAATATGTTAACAGGTGGCGCTACTAGCAAACTTAATTAATTTATTGAATTATTTTAATTTAATATAATTTAAAAAATATAGAAAACATGATATGAAGCTAAGTGCTAGTCTACAGTGTCAGCTATTATACCTACCACGTTTTTTTTTAAACAATTTTGATGCTATTATAGTAGACAACCCCAATGCAATACGGGAAATTTTAATATAGTAGGCTGATGTCACGAATGCTTTTGACAACTAAAAAGAAGTCTTGTTTTGTTTATTCAAAGATTTTTGCAATATCTAGTCTATTTTGATTTCTTAAAGAAAAGCAGAAAATGCCAAGGCATAATAATTTTTCTAATATGGATATGAGAGATATGATTGCTATTTATTGTCAGCAACACTTTAACGGGCGAGCAGCGAAAAGGGAATATTTAAGAAGATACCCAAACAGGCTGCAACCCAATCACCAAACATTTAAACATCTATTTCGAAATTTAGGCGAAAGTGGTTCATTTCGTCCTAAACGTGACAACTTAGGTCGACCAAAAATTATTACGCCTGATCAAGAAGATGAAGTAATGGTTCGCGTTGACGATAATTCTCAAGTAAGTACACGACGTTTATCTTCAGCGTTAGGAATCAGCAAAACTTCAATTTTAAAAATCCTACACCATGAGCATTTTCACCCTTACCATTTTGCACCTGTGCAAAATCTATTACCAGCAGATTTACCTTTAAGATGCAGATTTGCAAATGATATCCGAAACAGGCAAAATCTTGACAACTCTTTCGTCGATAGAATATTATTTACGGACGAAGCTACATTCACACGCCATGGTGTTTTTAATTTAAGGAACAATCATTACTGGGATACTAAAAATCCCCATGTTAAGAGAGAAAGGCATTTCCAACATGAATTTAAAATAAACGTATGGTGTGGAGTCATTGGTAATCATTTTTTAGGACCAATCGAGTTACCTCGTAATTTGAATGGTGAGAAATATTTACACTTTTTACAAAATGAGTTTACTGATTTGTTGGAAGAATTGCCCTTAAACTTAAGGCAAAATATGTGGTTTATGCAAGATGGTGCACCACCACATTATACAAGGGCAGTGAGAACATACTTAAATACCAACTTTCCGGAACGTTGGATTGGTCGTGGTAGTGATTTTCCTTGGCCACCACGTAGCCCAGAATTTAATCCGCTAGATTTTGGTGTATGGGGCGCAATGAAACAACGTGTCTACAAGAATCCCATAAATAGTCGCAATCAACTTTGGGAAGAAATAAATACTGCAGCAGTTTCCATTAAACCGATGATGTTATTTAATATGAGACGATCTTTTATGGAACGGATTGATAAATGTATTGAGGAAAATGGTGGACACATCGAACACTTACTTTGACAAAAAGTAAAATCTTAATTAGTTTAACTATTTCTTAATTTGATTTTAAAAATTAAATATTTATGACTTTAATTTAATATAAAACGTAAAATGTTTGATGTCATATCCAATTATTCTATTATTTTGTTAAATAATATTATTAATTATCCAGTTGATAATTTTATTTTATTTAATATTTCGTTAGCTATTAACTTTATTAAAGGTATTTTATACCAAAATTCAGAAGTATTATTGTTTTTGTCTATTTTTCTTTCGTTGTCTGGAGTAATTGCGGTAAATCAGAATTATGCAGTTGATTTTTAAAATGCGATTATCTCGAAAACTGTTGAGTTTTAAAGTTATTACCAAGTATACCTTTTTTATGTTAAAATAATGTATCTTTAATATTTTTTATCAAAAATATAGATATCTTAAAAAGCACAAAAGTTATTTGCAAATTTAGGCCACATATGTGGCATATGTGGCGCCCTCTAGCAGCTACATCAAAGTGTACATCAAATTATAATTTTTTGTATTCAATAGTACCCAGTTGTAAATTTTTATAAATAGATAATAACAAACATAAAAGTTATAGCGAAAAATAAAATTTTAAATTTCCACTTTAACACCCTGTATCTTTTTTACTATCAACATTTTACTTAAGCAAGTCCACTTAAATCGTAATATTTTAAAGTGCAAAATCTACGGTTTCTTTTTGTACAATTACTTAAGGACCACCCTGTATATATATATATATATATATATATATATATATATATATAAATTATAATATATTATATATATATATATATATATATATATATATATATATATTATTTGTAGTCTCAGCAATTGGTCTGTGGGAAATAAAACTCTATTTGTTATTTCTCAATGTTTCGTCACGATTTTGTGACTTCTTCAGGAGAAAACTGTAAATTTATTATAATTATTATATGTAAACAAAATGAATATTTCAATACTTACAACTATAAGATTAAAAATTAAAATTTTAATAACATACCTATCTACTTAATAAATGACATTTTTGATTTTAATTTATTTGGGAGTTATGGTAACCGCAATATTTTATAGAGTGAATTCCCATTGTACAATTTTTAGCGAATAAGTTTTAATAAACAATTATTGTGACAGTATTATCCATATTATAAGGTGGAAAAGTAGAGGATTGAAAAATAATCAGGAACATGGTAAATTGATCTATAAAATATAATTGATGGTACGTAGTCAGTTAATATAATACTGATATTAAGATCTATCATATATATTGTTTAGTATATTACAGTAGATATTACTTAAATGGTCTTATAATATTGATAGATTCTGGAGTTTTATTAATGTGTACAATTTCAAGGAAAAGTCGATTTTTATAATTATCAACTTGTTCCAAGATTTTTACATTATTAAAGTCAAAGTTGTATGTATGTATGTATCATGTATGTATCATGATGATACTATGCTTGTATGTATGTATGTATGTATCATGATGATACTATTCTAGGTTTGATTTTTTTACTACAACTGTGTATCTGTGGTTAAAATTTTCGGCTGTAATCCTCACCTGTCATAAATATTTGAGCAAGTGTTTTGGAGTGAACATAATTGAGATTTTTTTTCTGATCACTCTGGCTATATTGGAATATTGTAAACATTTTCGTGAATTTACATAAACGTTGCAAAATATTCTCTATATTTATTTTCTTTATGAATATTTATGTTTAGAAATTCTATTAATTCTGATAAATAAATTCTATTCTGACAATGTCTTCTATTTTCCTGATAATTACTTATTGCGTCAACTTTATTCTGCATAAATACACTTAAATGCGCGTACACAAGTACTTTTCTTTAGTGAACATGGCCATGAATCGTTTTTATTTGGTGCTGCTATTGACCCTCGTTGGCAGCGCTCTTCTAAGCGCCACATGTTTGAAAGATGGTAAGTATTCGACATTTATTCATCAGAAAATTAAGTAATATTTTATATATCTTCCTACTGTCGACACCAATACTTCTCTTCGTTTTAAACCGTACTACTTTTGCGACATTGGAGATTATTTCACATTCTTCTATTCATTACTTTCTGTTTTCTGCTTAATGTACAGGCATATAAGCAGTGCTTTGTACTTGATTCTAATTTCTTCTTACCTACAATTTTTAATCTTCTATTCGTGTAGGGCATAGCGGTTGTCCACCAAAGGGCGCAAAATGCTAAAGAAGGAAGCAGGAACAAACACGTGAAGCGAATTCGCCGGGCGGCCTCAATGCATTACTAAAACATCAGATCCCAGGCAACTGAAGGCCGTTCCCTTCTTCTTTGTTGTGGTATGTAATTTAAAGCTTTCTTTGGTCATCTATCATCATTCATTCGCTTCACGTGACCATACCACACTAGTTGTCTCGTTTCAATTCTGTCTACACTGATATACAGTATTTGTCCTCCTTCTAATATCTTCATTCCTGATATGATCTTTTTTGGATACACCACACGCTCTCCTTAGAAAATCCATTTCTACTACTTCTATTCTTTTTCTATCTTTTTTCGTGATCTGCCAAACTTCTACTCCATAAGTCATAATAGGCTCTACCAAGGTTCGATAGATTGTCAATTTTGTTTCTTGTTTAATATCTTTAGACAATAGTAGAGAGTTTAGAATGTTAATTGCTTTTTTTCCCTGCTGCGGTCTGTTTTCGATGTCTCTTTTGATAGTGCCTTTTTTAGATATTATAGATCCGAGATATTTATATTCATTGCATGTTTTTGTGTTTCTAATTTCTAACTCTGGATCTTCTTCGTCATCTCCTATTTTAAGATACTCTGTCTTTGACATATTCATATTGAGGCCCCATTTTTCATATTCTTTCTTTAGTTTTCTAAACATGTAGTCCGTGTCTTCCTCATCATTCGCTACGACTACCTGATCATCTGCGAAAAATAAAGTTGTTTATTTTTTACATTTACCATCGCCTATGTCTATTCCCATTCCGTATACTTGTTTCCTCCACTGCTCTAGCGATGATTGAATATATATTTTAAATAAGGTCGGAGATAGACAACATCCTTGTTTAAGCCCCCTTGTTATTGGAATTGATTCAGATATAGAGTTTCTTTCTTTAAAGACACTTCTTGCAGTTTTTTTATATATTTGCGATAGCATTGACATACTCTCTACTGAGACCTACTTTCGTCAATGTTTGAAACAGTTTTTTCAAAGGTACCGTATCGTATTACTTCTCTAAATCTACAAACAATAGGTGGGTAGATAGATTCCTTGCCTTCCGTTTTTCGATTACCTGCTGCAGAACGAATATACCATCTTCCTGCACGAAATCCATTTATTTTAGAGATTGTTATAAAGGTATTCAAATAATATAAAAATAAAAATAACAATAGTCTAAATCCTAGTTATATAAATGAAAATAATTAGTATTCCTTTAGCTTTAATTAAGAATAGAATACATGAAAATCAATATCGATAATCGATTACTCATGTGATGATTGATCTAAAAATTGTTTATATTAAAAATAAAATAGAACAATAAATTATTAGAGAATCAGATAGATTTTTTAAACAACGAGAGACCTACTCTCATTTGAATGAATGCTACTAAAGTGAAAAAACGTAGCAACAAAGTGTTTAATCGCAATTTTAAACAGACCTGGTAGATGGATAGATATATTCAATAAGGTAGATTTTGGCCTATATCACTGTGACCTTTTTAGATCTATTGTGGTCCTCCAATTCTTACATTCTTTATATTACATTAGATAACATTATCTAAGGAAACAAAAAGCAATGTACTAACTACAGGGGAATAACATCCTGCTAGAAAGAACCAAAACATACACAGAAGAAATCGTTGGAGATTATCAATGTGGATTTAGACCGGGCCGCTCTACAATTGACCAGATATTCACAATAAAACAGATAATGGAAAATTCTGGGAGTTTGATCGTGAGCTTCATCAGATGTTCATAGATTTTAAACAAGCATTTGATAGAGTATGTAGGGACAGACTGTGGACAGCGATGTAGGAACTTGGCTTATCAAAAAAACTAGTCCGGTTGATACGGATATGTATAGAACGGTTACGATGTAAGGTGAGAGTTGGACAACAATACTCGGAGACATTTGAAATAAACAATGGACTAAAACAGGGAGATGCACTTTCACCACAACTCTTCAACTTAGCTCTGGAGCACATAATCAGAAGTGCAAGAATCGAAAAACCGAATACAGTATTTCATCGAGAAGGACCAAACTTACTACTGGCATTTGCAGACGATATAGATCTAATAGGAAACACGCGATTAAGGATGAAGGAGACTTTCGTAAGGCTTGAGAAGGAAGCAGAGAAGATGGGGCTCCAAATCAACGAAAACAAGACGAAATATATGTATATGAGCCGCAATAACCAAAGCAGAGACAGAATCGGTCAGAACATTACCATCGATGACTTTATCTTTGAGCGCGTTAAAGAATTCAAGTATCTTGGAACAACAATAACTGAAGACAATAACGGATCACAAGAAATAAACAACAGGATTCAGGCCGGCAACAGATGTATTTTTGCCCTCCAAAACCTTATAAAATCAAAACAACTAACACGACGTACGAAGATACAGGTCTATAAAACAATCATACGACCCGTTGTGATGTATGGAAGCGAAACGTGGACGATAACAAAGGCAAATGAAGAGAGACTACGTGTTTGGGAAAGAAAAATCCTAAGGAAGATCTTTGGTCCGGTGCTTGATGAAGCATCAGGACAATATAGGATAAGAACTAATAAAGATCTTGAAGAACTTTACCCAGACGCCAACATCATAAAAGAAATAAAGTCCAGAAGACTCCAATGGGCAGGACACCTCAGAAGACATTCTGACGAACGAACAGTAAGACTGGTGTGGGAGGAAGTCCCAACTGGAAGGAGACCACGCGGACGCCCTCGTCTCCGGTGGCGAGATAATATAGCAGGAGACCTAAGCACTATGGGCGTGGAGAATTGTATGGAGGTTGCTCAAGACAGAAAACAGTGGAGGCATGTGTTGAGTCGGCTAAAACCCACGAAGGGTTGTAACGCCACGGAGTAAGTAAGTAAGTAAGATAACATTATTTAGCCTGGCCCTTTTTAAAAAGTGTAGTAGATTCCAGACTGAACTTTCCATGTAGCTCTTTGACAGTGGCTTTTCTTCGCCTAATGTAAGGAACCGCACATTTGTCAGGCTGTCACCCTGACACAAAATGTCCTATGCTGTTTTTTCTTCTATGTTACAGAATCTGTATATATCATCATCTGCCATTCGCATCAGCTTGAACTGCGTATTTAGCTTTAGTTCTGACCCCTCGGAGGGAGCATAGTGGTTATTCTGATGTCGTGTATTGTATATATCTATCTGTCATCATTTCTTTTAACTCGTGCATATCGATCTTCCTCGTGATCTTCCACCTTATACCTTTCCTTGAATAATCTTTCAGTTCAAGTTCCTGTAGCTGCCTGTATACCATGTATCACAAAAAAATTATTTAGAAATCTTTTTTTTTAACATCTTTTATCAACGTCTGTTTGCCTTGCAATTCTTAGAAGGCTCAGATTATAAAGCAGAAATCTGAATTGTGTTTCGAAACTATTTTACGATTGTTTAATTAGATGTCGCTACTGCGTCCGTATTGAAGCAATGTTATTGTTGCTTCTTAAAAGGCAGAAAATGTTGATTTTTCACATTGAGGACTCCTATAAATAGCTCTTCTGACGAGACCTATTAGGTCGAAATACGTATCAAGAGATACATAGGATTTGTTTGCGTGAAATCAAATATAAAAGTTATATAATTAAAACACCTTATCAAGCTACATCACAGAACGTTTTCGGAATTAATATTCCATCATCTTCTTCTTCTTCTTCGCGTGCCATATCAGAATTATCCGACGTTGGTGATCACCATTGCGAAGGCTTCTCGATCTTCTGCAATATGGAATAATTGTCCTACATTTGGTATCTGATATCATTCACGAATTTTTTTTAAACAAGAAACTTGTTTTCTTCCTAGACCTCTACTGCCCCCTATTTTGCCTTTAAGGATAGTTGTAAAATTTTATATCGACTTCCCCTTACTATATGTCCCAGATAAGACATTTTTCGATGTTTAACAGTATTTAGCAGTTCTCTATCTTTGTTGACGCTCCTTAGTAGTTCTTCATTAGTTTTTCTTGCTGCCCAAGGTATCTTCAGCATTCGTCTATGAACCCACATTTCCAATGCTTCAATTTTGTTCATGATCGATACTTTTAGCGTCCACACTTCTGCACTATACAAAAGTACGGACCAAACATAGCACTTAACCATTCTTTGCCTTAGTTCTAAACTGAGATGGTTATTGCAAAGAAATGACTTCATTTTCATAAAAGTAGTTTTAGTCATTGCTATTCTACGTTTTATTTCTATGTCTGGATCTAGTTGGTCCGTTATCACAGTTCCCAAATATGTCATTTTGTGAACTTTCTCAACTTGGACTCTGTTCAATTGAAGCTTTGCATCGGGATGTGGGTTACGACTAAACACTAAAAATTTGGTTTTCTTTGAGTTTATTTTAATGTCCTTTTCCTATCCTACCTCGTGAACACGATCAAGCAGAATTTGAAGACCTTCAATATTATCTGATAGAATTACTGTATCGTCTGCATATCTAATCCCATTAAGTACTTCCCCGTTGATTTGTATTCCATATGGTTGTCTCTCATGTGCCTTTTTAAATAACTGGTCCGAGTAAACATTGAACAATGTTGGAGACAAAATTCAACTTTGTCTGAGCCGTCGTTGTATGGAGATATCATCGTGTAGTTATCTCCAATTTTTGCGATAGCAGTTTGATTCCCGTACAAATTTTTAATGACACGAATATCCTTGTCATCTATTCCGATATTTTTCAGTATTTGCATTAATTTTACATGCTGTACTTTATCGAATGCCTTTTCGAAGTCCACAACACATACAAATACATCTTTTCTTTGGTCACGGCATTTTTGTAATAGAATGTTAAGCGCAAAAAGTGCCTCCCTGGTTCCCATAGTATTTCTGAAACCAAATTGGGTATCTTCAAGATCTTCTTCGGATTTGGATCTGAAACATGTACATTTAGATACACTGATAATTCCATCATCAGTGTATTTGAGCCACTTGAGCAACTAAATACTTGGGTAAAAACGCGTTAAATGTTTTTAATTTAAATTTGTTACATTATTTAATCTTATAAGTATGCTATGATGCTTAAGTTCTGAGGTCCTGAGACAAAATATCTACGAAAACTTGTTGATAGCAACTTTTAATTAAGTATATACCTTTTATAAAGGATTTTAAGATAAATTTTTAACTCTTTCCATGTTTTCGAGTCTGGTCTCATAACATGTCCGAAGTATTTTAGTTGTTGGAGATGGACTTAGCTGAAGATCCGTTTGCTGACATTTAGTTTATTTGAAATTGGATTATTTGTCTGGTGATCGGTTCACGGGATTCATAACATTCTTCTCCAACAGAACATTTCAGGGGTATATATCTTTCTTCTTTTCGCTTGTCTTAGGGTCCAAGATTTAGATCTGTATGTCAGTATTGGGAGTATTAAGCAGTTAATCAACCATATTTTTAGAATTTGTGAGATTTGAAAGTCCTTTCATATTTTGGCGATCTTCCTACGGCGATTTTTGCTAGATCACAGCTACTTTTTACTTTTTCCTGCAGTGACCTTGTATTTGTGATCAATGATCCAAGATATAAGTATGAGCTTACAACCTCAAAACGGTCAATCAGCGTTATGTGTGGATGATTGTTATGTAGTCTATCCACTATCATAATCTTTGTCTTTGATATGTTTAACTGCAGACTACTTATTTGACTTTCGTTTTTAATCAGTCGTTAAGTTTTCAATCTTTGCTAATTAGATCTGCTGTAAATTTTTGGGAATGTTCTATAATGAACTACTGAGTAATTAATCTATCTTTGTGCTGGCAAATTTCCTCCACTATTCCAGAGAATTTTGTGTTTCTTGTAGTAGTTCTTGTTACTACCTGTGAAATATCAAAGGCACCAATGAATGGCATTAATGATCCTCGTCGTAATAAATATGCTCGTATATTTCTCCGATGTTGCGTATCTAAATTCTATTCATTTTTGGTCTAGACGTTGTTGGTATAACCAACAAGACTTACTCTACAGCGTAGGTTGTCTAATACTGATAGTCAATATTGTTTTTAAAATTCTTTGAGCGTCTGGTTAACGTAAACCTACTAATATTAAATACCTTTGTTGTTTATTAATCCAGCATTTTTTGTGAAAAGTCATTCATTTCAAAAGAGCTCGTAAGGTAGCAGCATTGACTAGACATACGAAATGGTTCAAGGTATACCATGGTCTAGGTACAACCGTCTCCCCTACATGGATATTGAGAAGGACTACTGTCATACCTTAGTCACCCATAAATATGTGAAACTCTGTTTCTTTCTGTTATAAAAAGCTGGTTAAAGGAGATTACATCATTCCCTGAGATTACGGAATCATGACATTCATCTCTTTCCAAAACTACACTTTCCCAAAATATTTCCCTTCATGATATGCAGAAAGTGGTATTTTGTTCCTCTTATCTCAGGGTAAGGTATTGCAATTTTTTGTATCTTTATTTCAATATTCAGTTCCATTTTGTCTGAAAGTCTTCTTACGTAAGTCTATCAAGTAGTCTACTAACTTATAACAATAAGCAAGTGTGGATTTTCTGTTAAAAAATTGTCATTTTATATTTTTGATTTAACTCTTATAATAATATTATATAAATTTGTGTCTATTTGTTTAGATTTAACAGCACATACGTATTAACCATTTTATATTTTTTTTCAGTATCACAATGGGAAAATATTTTTAGAACAAGATCCTCAGTTATTCCACTCAAGCATTGGGGAAATAAAAGCTATTTTATTGGCGACGCCTTTCAGGTACTTGAATGTTTTTTAGATAAACATAAATAAGTAATATAAAAGGACCCTTCATGATTGAAATACAAACCTTTTTGAATTCAAGAAATGTGACATATTAGCCAAAATTTTCAAACAGAAAGTACTAGAGATATTAAATGGTTTTAATGAAAACATCCTTATTTTTTCGCATCCAGATCTGCAAACGGAGTAGGAGCGGCTTTTACAATACATAACTATAACGATTCCTACCAGCTCCCTCCCTAAACCTCTATATTCTTCGCTGAATATTTTTCTATTCTCTAGAGATTCTTCTTCTTCTCCATGTGCCATCTCCTCTAAGAAGGTTGGCAACCATCGTGGCAATTTGCACTTTCGATACTGCTGCTCTAAAGAGGTCAAAAGAAGTGCAGTTAAACCAAGCTCCTCTCAAATTGTTTAACCAGGAGATGCGTCTTCTTCCGCGAATCCTTCTACCCTATATTCTTTCTTGCATTATTAATTGCAACAAGTTATAATACTCGCCCCTCATAACATGTCCCAGATATTGCAGTTTCTGACTTTAATTGTATTTAAAACCTCTTTATATTTTCCCATTTTTCTCAATACCACTACATTCGTGAGTCTATTCACCCAACTTATTCTTAATAGCCTTCTTTAGGCCCGTAAGTCGAAGGCTTCTAATCTGTCATAAACATCTTTCTTTAATGTCCAAGCCTCCTAAAATATTACGGAGAACACGTAGCATTATTTTATCTTTAAAGAAATTGAAATGTCCATGCTGCAGAGTACTGTTTTCAGTTTGTTGAAAGAATTTCTTGCCTCTCCTATTATTGCCTTAATCTTTTCTGTGTACTCATTATTTTTGTTAATTATTGTACCCAGATATTTATATTTTTCAACTTTTTTAAATTGTTCTCCATGTATTGTTATGTTTTCTTAGCGCTGTTGGGCTTTTGTAATTACCATAAATTGGGTTTTTTTTTGTTTAGGGACAGTCCGTTTACTTCACTGACTTCTACCACTCTGCCAACCATTTGTTGTAAATCCTCAAGATATTTCTCTAATAAAATAGTGTCGTCGGCAAACCGTACATTATTGATTGGTCGACCATTTACTTTTATTGCAATAGTTAGTTCTTGTAGTGCTTCCTGGATTATTTCCTCTGAATATAAATTAAACAAAGTAGGAGACAGAACAGGAGACAGGACATTAACGTTTGTCAAAACACATGGCATCAAATACACTCTTATCATTAGCGATTCCCTGAGTGTATTAACAGCCCTAAAGCAATTATACCCCAAACATACCATCCTGCGTTTAATTAAGGCGAAACTCTTAACATACCAACAAAATCAAAGATAAGTTCAGTTACTTTGGGTATGTTCACATTGCTAGATAAGTGGAAGTGATAAATCTGATATATCAGAAAAAATGCAAGTTAAAATCCTTTAATAATCATCATACCTACCTGTTTTCATATTAATTTACAGCAATATTTTAAGAACAAAATCATGACAAAATGGCAAATAAATTTGAAAAATTTAAAGCCAGCATTAAAAAGTAACAAAGTATGCTACCATGGAAAGAGACCAAGTGATCATATGGAGATTGTACCAAAGATAACCCATGATTTTATCTTAATGAAGAAACCGCCTCCGATTATATTATATGGGTGATGGCTAGACATACTAACAGACTGTCCTATGTATCAGAACGACAACAACAACAGTTTCCTAATATCATTAAAGAATATTTAAGTGAAAATATCACAACTAAAATTGATATAAGGTTGAATGCTTGAATCAATGAACTTTGATAAAATTAAAGGCAGATATCGAGCACAGTTTTATTAATTAAGTTTTGCCAAAGTACTTTCGCTTCCTGGAGCATCTTCAGGGGCATTTCGTTAATTTTGTATTATCCAACAATCGCAGAATGTCGTAAACATAAGATTAAACATAAAATTGTACATAACACTACACTAAACAAGGATAAACACTTTAAAATTATTTAAAAAATAGTCGAAGCTACATCCTGGTCGGCAACAGGAGAGAGAATCATTCTTACTTTAGTCATTTTTACTTTCAAAGTACCGGCTAAGTTGTGTAATATGATTTGTTACTTTGGCTGCACTACAACATTTTTATCCACGTTGGCAAAATCTTTACAAGAGACGGCAGGATCAAAAATACCGTCCTTCCAGCCGTTGACTGAAAGCAGCTCCTCTGTTAAAGTCTCGTTAGCTTTTTCTGTGTTCTTTTCATTTTTTACGAAACCAGATTTTTTAAACAATGTTTAATCGTTTCGGATATTACTTTTTCCCAACCCTCTTACACATTCGAGAGGCTTAAAGAATGTCTAACTTTATTTCAAGGGAGTTGCAATTTTCCGTCAATATGTTTTTAATATCAACAAACGTTTGTTAAAATGTATAAGATTTTTTTAAAGCCCTGGTCCATAAGCTGGAGAAATAAAGTCATGTTGGCAGGAAAAAAATAAATTTTACATTTTCCATTAGTGGGATAGTGTTGTAGGCCGTAGAGTTGTCAATAAACAAACTAACTTCCCATTTTTATTTTATGAACTTTTTTCTAATTTCATCAGCCATTTCTCGAAAAGATCCCTAGCCATCCAAGCTTTTATATGCTCACATATTCCACTGGTTTTCACTTGACATTCTTAAAAAACGCAGATTAGCCGATTTGCCAATCATCAGTAGAGATTACTGATCCGTCCATATTTGCACCAATTAGAAGAGTGACTCCTTTCATTATTGAAGATATCTCTTTCATCTATACTAAAACAATTTTTAATTGAAGGTGATTACTTGGCAACATCGTACTTAAGTCGTACTTAAGGCGAAGCCCTTAACGATAACTTTTCAACGAAATCGTATTGAAATTCGTGTACGAAATACGTAATCTAATAATCAATCTAATAAATTTATTGTCAAATTTCTCTTTGTATATTGAGCGGCCGTTAAGGGTTTAATACTATATAAAGAATAAACTCGCCTCAAATTTACATTACTAACCTTAAAACTATTTTAAAGTTAATAATAAAGTCTATTTAATAAATATATTCCCAATAACACACTACGCCTATGCACATATGTATATAATCTGGAAGGAATAAACTAAGATATCATATTTCTCCTATTAACATTCTTTCTCACAACATAAATATATATAGACCAGCAAAATATTGATAAGCTTACCGATGTTTCAAACTATTTAATGAACTTGTCTCACTATACACTCGTGAATCGCACCAATTTATATTGTTATGGGGGCAAATTTATCTTACATGGGTTATAAATGTACATATTTACATGGGCGTAACATACACAATAAAAATGACCCCGGTAAGAATTTACTAATGAAATTGTACATGGTTGCCGCTACCGTTTGGTTCAATTTGTAGATTAGTTACCTTTAATTGAAAATTGTCCGACTATATATCCTGAATCGTCTCCTTCTATTTTTTTTTCATTCGTTGAATGAAATTTTGTTGCGTTTTTTGAAGCCGTCTAGCCACCCTATACTCGCCTCACCAAGGTAAGGTAAACCCATACGCTCCACGCCGGCATACACCAATACTTTTGCTTTCAGTTTAGAAGTACGGTTAAAGTGAACAAGACGTCAAAAACCGATCTTTTATTAATGGCAGTGGCGTGTGTTTGTATTAAAGAAAGGTGTCGTATTAAAAGAAAGGTCCAAGATCGCAATGGACAAAGGCTTGGTTACAAAAACGAGCTACGTACTCTCATATCAGTTTACTGGAAGAATTGCAACTGGATTCATCAGATTGGCATAATTACTTGAGAATGGATCAAGATACGTATTTTGAACTATTATCTTTAGTAACTCCTTTGATACAAAAACAGGAAACGCGAATGTGGTAGGCTCTAACGGCACATGAAAGGCTAACTACAACATTAAGATTTTTGGCAACGGGAAGGCGCTATGAGGATTTAAAATTTTCAACAATTATTTCAGCTCAGGCATTATGTCGAATTATTCCTGAAACAGGTGAAGCAATATGTCGTGTATTACAAAAGGAAGTAATGAAGGTAAGTTGACAAGGTAGTACGAGGTGCATCTTGATCTTGAACAAATAGCAGCAACATATACCTCTTCCGAGCTCATACCGAATATTTTTTTATTTACTTTTTTCCATACTTTGCGGAAGCTTCCTCGCATTGTATTGATTTTTCTCACTACACTTTTTTCCTGACGATCACTGTATGCTTTATTTTTAATCTGCCATAAACAGGGATAACTTCTGTATAGCTCTACGAATTCCGTAATAAACTCTCTCGACATGCACCTTATATGACTCATGGTTTTTAATTAAGTGTTTGTTTTCTCATAAAATTATAAAATGCTTAATAATATGCAACATCCAATGAACAGTCGTACAGCACTGATTGAAAATGAAACATGCAGAGACTTGTTGCCCATACACTCTCGTTCTTCTCCGCGCGATGATAATTGCACACGCTAAAAATCAAGACGATCCTGATTTTGAGAGGCTTGGTTGCGCATTCCACATTTTTCGTCATACACACACACTTTTAACTGTACCCCGTGCCATGCACATTCATCCTTCGCGCTTCCTTCTGAGTGAGTGGGCGCCTTTAAACTTGCTTTCCCCATTTCAATAACAAATTGTTGAGCTTTGCTTCTTATAAGGGAACCACTCACGGGAATCTCCTTATCCCTGGCTTGTTCGAACCATTATAAAACACATCTAGGTTTTCTGGCACCCTTAACATTTTTTGTTCTTTACTGCACTCAGTTTCACTCTTGAGATTTCTTCTTTATTCTTCAAGTAGGTATATCCACCTATTTGAAGAAGTAGGTGTGAATTATCATGTGTTGGGGGAAATTCCAAATTCCTTGGAATCTCCGATTTTTTCTTTGTCCTTTTTTTCCTTCTTTAACTGCCGCTATTTTTTTTGACAACTTTCCGCTTATTTTTTGTATGTTCGAAGTTTACCAAGCGATGACATCCTCGCTCAAAAATCTTTGCATCTTAACTGAAGGGGCCCGCCGGGTGGGGGAGAATTTAGGTGCCAGATACGGGTACAATGTACAATGGTCTTGAATGCCTTGAAACAAGTGGAGGCTGAGAACAGGAAAGAATACTACCTCTTTTCGCGGAAATTTCCAGCATGAAATTGACATTTTAGGTTGTAGAAAAGTTCGAATTATCCAAAATATAATTCGAATTATTCACGACTTTTTACCATTGCTTATATAGGAAATGCTAGGTACCAGAATAAGAATTCGAATTAAAGAAGATTTCAAATTAGAGAAGTTCGAATTAAGTAGGTTCCACTGTATTAACTTTTGTTTTTCTTTTATGCTAATGCTAATAACACTTTTTGGTTGAAGCAAATTGTAAATTAAAAAAAAAATAATACAAATAATAAATACATAACTAGATTATTCTCAAAATTCCTTTCTCATTGGTTTTTACTGAAAATAATACAGTTTCTGGTCTACTGCGGAATAAAAAACGATATGAAAATCTCTAGGTTACAGATACTTTCTGAAGAACAAAATAGAACAGAATACAATAGAAAATGGAATATCTTTATTTTTCTTTATTTTTGTGCAAAGTGCATTCAGATTAATTTCATTAAAACTAAAACGTTAAATTTTTGTTTTAGCTCCCTTGGTACGAGGCTCTAAGTTTTTGCAGCCAAATTCATATGCAATTGCTTACCATTACTTGTGATGAAGAAAATGAAATGATTTTCAACTACTTAAAAGAGGCTGGTAAGTGTATTTTAATTTGACCCTTACATCTTCCATTAACATAATTAAATAGCCTAAAGAGGTATTTTTTAACCTGTGGTTAGCAAAAATGTGTTAGGGGGTCCCTATTTTAATCTATCGACATTTGAATCAATAAATAAATGTAAGTCTCGTAATCGTAACCGAGACTGACCGAGATGACCGAGTAAAGTGATTAAAACAAGTGCCGCTATAAAAAAAATTACCTTATTATTTTACTAACCTTTCCCCCTGCCACACCGCCGGTGCACATGCACATTTGCCCGTGACTTAAGCGGAGTTTACATTGGTATAGTTACTTGCACCAGTTACTTGTACAAGTATATCCAGGACAGTTCACATACGCAAGTTGACATGCTAGTAAGTGTTTACACATAAAAATATTATTCATTTACCAGTTCCCGACGAGCACCAGATGCGTAAAGATGAAACCTTTCCATTGCCGGCGCCGTGCTTTGTGCAATAATTCAAAATTAATAATTAAAAATCGCATTAAAAAAATTATGTTGCGTATATCGAGAATTTTAATTGAAGAAGCTGTTAATTTGATTGAAGAAGAAAAATGTCGTCCAAAAAGGATATGGGTTCGAAGGTGGATTGATAGAAGAACTACAAGAGGGGCATCCACTCTTCTTTTAAAAGAACTTCGTATGGAAGATCCTGAAGAATATAAATTATGCCTTCGGTTGACACCGAGTAAATTCAAATACTTGCTAAATATGGTTCTGCCTAGAATTCAAAGAAGTGACACACTTTTAAGAGACGCATTACCAGCGCACGTTAAACTAGAAGTTACCCTCAATTTTTTGGCAACAGGAAATAGCTATAGAACTCTTCAACATTTTTTTAGAGTTCCAAAAACATCAATATCTAAGTTTGTACCAGAAGTTTGCGACGCAATTTATGATGTACTGAGTGAATATATAAAGGTAAGTTAAACATTTTTTTTTCTACAGTAAAACGTCGATTAACAGGACTAATTAAGACCAGAGGGATTCAGGATAACCAATCATGTTCTTATTGTATAGAGAGTAATATTTACTTAATTTTTCAAGTATCTTAGATAGTACTTATACTGATGCTGGTACTTATTATAATTTTTCAAAAATACTTATCCTTATTACTTAAGTATATTTATTTCGTACTTGCAACAGCTCTGGTCGAAATGTTGGAAAGTGATCATTGTCTTTACTCAAAAACCACGGTTTATTAACAAAAATTTACATTAAACATTATTCTAGAAAATGCTGATGGTCTAGAGGTGACGAGGGTAAATCGTACATTGTAGGAGATGAAAAAGGTGATTGCTGTACAGAAGATAGCGTGGGTGGATGCGGACTAGAAGATGGCGGTGTCGGTGGCGGCGGTAGTTGGTATCCAGGAGATTGCGGCGATTGGAACGGTGGTTGAATTGAACTCCAATTGGTGTAACCAGAGGAATGGGAAGATCCAGAAGGACTTGGTACATTCTGTGGATATGGTGATGGAGCAAGAGCCATGCACCTATAACGAGTCAGTGTACTTTGTAATTCATTTTGACATTGCAGAGCCAAGTGTAAAGGAAGCTTCTTTAGAGCGAGGATCATATATCTTCCAAAGGCGTCAAATTCATCTTCCTCATTTCCAGATTGCTGTAAGGCAGTATTAATGTCACGAAGCTCTGAAACAGCGGTTGATAAATCCTGGTATCGTCTTTTTGATCCCGCTTGGAAACTGCGTCCTTTCTCTTTTCGAGAAGTTTCTTTAAGGTTAGAGCTTCGACACTCAGAAACTGCAGATGTTGATGGGGTTTCAGAAATTACAATTGATGTTTCTTCAATAGTACCAGATTCCAATTCTAGGTCGTTCTCTGTATTTTCTACCGTTTGTCCAGCTGGTTGCGTGTTCTGAAGAGAAAGAAAAGTGTAAATAACTATCATAATAAAACATTGTATTCTTATAAAAAAGAGACTGAAACGTTTTCTATTCAGAATTATTATTTTTAGATCCCCCCCACTTTAGACGCTTGGAATCAAATTGAAAGAGGTTTTCAAGAAAGATGGAACTTTCCTAGGTGTTGCGGGGCCATCGATGGTAAGCACATATTAATTCAAGCTCCTCCAAACTGTGGAACAGAGTTTTTTAACTACAAAGGACATAATAGTATTGTCCTCATGGCAGTTGCAGACCACAATTACTGTTTTTCCTACATCGATGTCGGATGTAATGGAATTGTATCCGATGGAGGGGTTTTTCAAAACTGCTCGATATACGAAGCTTTAGAAAAAGGCATACTTCCAGAAGGGACTTGTTTTGTTGGTGACGATGCATTTCCTCTAAAAACGTATTTAACTAAACCATTTAATTCTGTACCATTATCAAAAGAAGAAAAAATTTTCAATTATCGTCTGAGTCGTGCAAGGCGTATAATTGAGAATGCATTTGGTATTCTGGTTAGTAGATTTCGAATATTTGAAAAAAAAATTGCTTGCAAATTGTCAACTGTTGATAAAATAGTGAAAGCTTGTTGTGCGTTACATAATTGGTTACGTAAAACCGATTCAAACACTTATTTTACACCAGGATCGTTTGATGAAGAAAATATAGATACGGGAGAAATAATTCCAGGAAGATGGAGATCTGAAATGACAAATTTAAGAAATCTTGCAAAACCAAAATCCGGTTACAAATCATCTAGACTTGCTAGAGAGTTCAGAGATTATATTAAAAGATACGTTAACAACGAAGGCGCAGTACCATGGCAAGAAGCAAAAATTTACTAATGTGTTAGTGTTATTAATAACTAGTATTATAAATAACTTTAATAATTAATATTAGTTTTATTTAGCGTAGACTTCCTTCGAGTCAACATAGCTTTAAAATGTGGGGACTTCATTTTCGTAAGTAATAACTGTGATAATATTCTATTCTTAAATAAATACATCAAAGAGCTCGAATACACTGCTTGCCATTTTTGTAAGCAGATATTTAAAAAAGACCTATGGTGTATATTCTTAATAAACAAATATAGTTTACTAGGATAGGATAGGAAACATGCTACATTTTAATAAAATTTGGTATTGTTTCAAGATAAACGGGTCATCCTGTATATTGCGGTATAATAAAAATTAGAACACGTAGGTATTTAGCTTCCGAAAATTATTCTCAGAATTATTGTTAATTACTAAATAATATTATGAAACGTTTCATCCGAAAAGCAATTCAAATATGTGATTATACCTACCTACACCTACATACTAAATAATTTATCTAAATTTATGTACCTAGCTAGTTTATTAAAATTAAACTTACCATGTTGCTTTGAGTCAATCTTTTTCCTTTTGTTTCCTTCATGAATGCATTCATGATGTGGAACCATTTTAAAGTTGGGGCGTAGACGTCGTCAGTTCCCATACCCGATTTAACTGATCTTTCTATTTTCTGTAGTTCTTGGCTGTAAGTATTCCGCAAACTTTTTATTTTTTGCCTAGCTTCGGCAACAGTAAATCCCTCAATGCCCATGTTTTGAACTAATTGTTCTAAAGCTGCCGATCTCATTTGATTATTTCTGTAACTTTGTTTGGTAACGTTCCAGAGACATTCGTATTCCCGATAAAGTTCGACAAATTTAACAGTTTCTCCCTCGGACCATTTCATTATTGCACTTTTAACAGTAAAATTAAAAAACAATAGCGAAATATAAAACCGCGACACTGCTCTCACAACGTTATATGCCAGGACACTTGCACACCCGTCTACACTCGACTAGTTACCAAACCACTTGCCATGCTACTTGCGTTGAGGCGAAAATGTGGTGGAAGGGGAAGGACAGTAGGCAAGTAAATAGATGGGCTAGCTATTTACTTACCTGTCCTCGCTACTGGTACAAGCACTTGTACAAGTACTTACCCGGTAGGTTGACATTGGGCTAGTTGTTGCCTTACAAGCTACTGGTACAAGCAACTAACCCGTTTACTATACCAATGTAAACTCCGCTTTACACTTGGGCTGATTTTTTATTCGTGTGTTAAAATTTAGTTACGCGTATTCGCATTTTTTTGTTCTGTATTGCTTTACGGGTACTACTACTACATTCTGGATATTGAAAGAGGAAGTTATAAACCCTTAAGCGGGCAGAGAAACAAATAGAACTCTAGAAATAAATTACAACGCATATATCTTATACATTTATTTAAAAACACAAGAAAACAACATGTTTTTTTTTGTTTAAATAAACACAAAAAAACTTACGAGTTGCATCTCACAAGATACAATGCTCATTAAATCATTTCTTATAATAGAGTGTGAAACAATTTCTAGACTTTTTTTCTGACACCAGACATAAACGAGTTTTACATCTTTCGCAATAAACTGTAGTTTATCCATCTGTACACAATTTACATCTACCTTTATCTACTAAACTTGGAAAGTGACCTATGTTGTCAAATCGAACGTCATCTGAGGAGCTACTGGATATTGAATTTCTTTCTTTGGTTGTTGCTCTGCACTTGAACAGTCTTTTTCCCAATGCTTCCATATCTCGACGATATAGCAACCAAGCATTGTTCACTGCTATATCTATGATTTGGCTGAATATGCAAAGATACCACCTTCTCGATTTAAATGGTGTTTTATATAGTGATATCAGCATATCAGATAGATCAACACCAACCATATGTTTATTATGTTGCTTCACTACTTGAGGACACTGCACATCAACTTTTTGTTTTTGTTCCTTACTGTATCGTTTCTCTTGAATTACGGGGCTGTGGGAAATGTATAAGCTAGCTAAAGTGACACATTTAGTATCAACCCACTTGACTACTGCTATATCGTTTGTGTTGTCAACTTTGTAATCGAAAGTTCCTCTGTCTTTTTGAGGAGCGCTTTGTCTGTTTCAAGCGTACAATTTCGTAGTCGGTTACTGCGAATAGTGCCAAGACTCGACAACTATTTCTTTTGCTTTAGATATTCTATGAGCTCCAAAGAGCAGAAAAAGTTTTCAAAATAAACCACAGATTCGTTCGGATTTGCAATTGTTCTACATAAATATATAACTACTTCAGCCTTTAGCTCCAACGATTCTTCATAACTTGAAAATGGTATATTGTTGAAAGTGCTCGAACCTGTATACATTAAAAAGTCGTAAACAATACCTCACACTCCTGCCCGAACAAACATTTTCAGTCACCATTTTTTAGGCTTTTTGGGCATATATTGACGTAAGTTATCTACTTCACTTCCCTTATACGCTATCAATATGTCACCAACAGAAAACAGTGTCTTTTGTTTCAAACACAAACATTTTTGCCGTACTTTTTCTAGTATGGGCCGAATTTTGAACAATCTGTCGCCGTTTGCATCCATGTTATTATCTATAAAATGTATGAATCGTCTAAGCTTTTTGAATCCCTTAACTGGCATTACTTCAGCGATTGTTTTATGTTGAGTTTCAAAACTCTATTAGCATCTCCATGCCCACAAAAGCTTTTAGTTCCAATGGAGTCGTGTTGATAGATACCCCTAATGATAATGCGGAGTATACATTAGTTTCATTTGATATATAGGCAAACAAATCGTCATCAAAAAATCGCTGAAAATATGTTAAAGGTGTATACTCGTCATCGGGTGCATAGAAATATGGTTCTGTTGGAATTTTAATGTGTTGAAAATTAGTTTGCTCCCACGTGTACTGTTTAGATCTTTTTTTCGCAGTTTTGGATCGTGGAGGTAGCGGCTGGTCGTCTTCCGATTCTGTATCACTGAACGATGCAACTGAAAGCTTATTTGATTTAGAGGAAGGATCTTCATAGTCTGGATCAAAATCATCAGCATTATCACCATCAATATCTTCTTCGTCTCAAGACTCTCCTATATCAGATATGTACAGATCATCAGGAAGATGATAACCTTCTTACGTGAACCGTAGAAAGAAGTGCTTGTAATCTGGAAATTATACCAAAAGACAATAATTAATTCACATTTATGGTTCAGAGTATATAAACAATTATTTATCCGCATTCCGACACATTTTATCATAATTTGATTCACCTAGGTACACTTTTTAAATATCATATGGTTGAACAAAATAAAGTTTGCTCTTATGAAAAAATAAAATTAAACGATCAATGTATACTACGAGATACATACAAAAAAACAGGTGATATTTCACCATTTGAAAATAAAAATATCGCTTCAAAATAAATTCTTTATATTCACATTACTATGTACTAACATAAGTTGAAATAATAAAACACAAATTTATAATAAAAACAAAAATATGATTATTTTTCACTTAATTCATCGATAGACTATGCTTCCGCCATTTCACTAACAACACTGACTCGATTTTACTTGAATACAAACTGGTTTCTCTCGCGCTACCTGCTTTTATTCGTAAAGAGTGAATGTATCTTCCAGTACGCATTGCCCTCTATGTGCTTAGCCGCACATATTTTCCATTATAAATTTTATATACTATTGTATCTCTGGGTATACAATGGCCGTTTAAGGATTAATAAAAAAAAATACCAGTATTAGTAAGTCATTAACATATAGAGGATACATCATTTATGTTTTTTAAATAACAAACATATAAAATCAGAATTTGGTGTTTATTGAAGGTAAACTAAATGCACGACCAAATACTTACCATGTCGGGATAGTATTATGAGGTTTTTTCCTGGTTTTTCCCTAATAATTTACTATGGAATCAATAACAGGAGAATTTTACTGTCATCATGACATGTGTTTGTCTTTTTAAAGACGAATTACATGCTATGATTTTTTCTGACGGATATTCTTAAGTTGATTTCAAATAATCTAATGAACTATCTTATCAGTAAAGTCGTCCCAGAAGTGCAACTCAACAATATTGGCAATATCATTTTAAACTCGTCTACTTTAAAATGCATAATGTATGTCTGAATTGTCAATATAAATGAGTCAGATAAAATTAAATTATTAGAAGATTTTTTTCACTTCTTCTTCTTCTTCGTCTAGCCATTCACGTCCACATCTGAACATAAGCCTCTTCAAGTCTTCCTTTCCATTGTTTTTTATTGTACGCTACTTGTAGCCAATTTTTCCCAGCAGTCCTTTTCAGATCATCTGTCCATTTCATAGGACTTCTGCCTCTGGGTCTTTTATGTTGGTATGGTCTCCAGGTTAAAATTGATCTGTGCCATTTGTTTATATCGCTCCTAGCTACATGTCCAGCGTATTCCCATTTCAACTTTAATGATTTTTGCACCACATCGGTGACTTTGGTACATCTGTCTTATCCATGTGTTTGTTTTCTTTTCCTTAAGTGTTGAGTGACTCTAAGTATATTCATATTCTTTTTTGTGATTGTCCATGTTTGTGCCGCATAAGTTAATATCGGAATAATGCATGCATCAAAAACTTTAGATCTAAGATGTAATTGAATTTGTTGATTTCTGAGTATATAGTTCAGTTTACCGAATGCTGCCCAAGCTAACTTTCTTCTTCTTTTTATTTCTTCAGTTTGAATTTCCCTATTTAGGATTATTTTTATTTTTATTTGATTTATTTTTTCACTAAGTAACAAAAAAACAAAATGTGTTTAATTTACTAATGTTTGTATTTTGAGAACGATTTCCAAAGTGGAAATTAAAACGTCAATAAACGTATTTTAACCTTTAATTGTGGCTTATTCCCAGTTAAATAGTAATTAATTTAAAATGCCACAAGAAAATAGCTTCAGAACGATATTAAGGGAATATGAACTCATAACATTATAATAGTTTAGTGATAATATTGCTATGAAATTTTAACTAAGAAGTAGTTTTGTAGTAAGGTAACTACAAAGTTTAGGAAATATTTATTAAAAATTTTATTAATAAAATGTATCAAAATACCTGGAATATGAAGACAACTTTCTCTATTTACGCTGAAACTGGCTATTTATTATTATTAATTGTGTAACTACTTTAAGCTAATTTACCGGTGACCCTTTTCTGTAGGGTATTAAAATCTGATCTCCGGAGTGAACTAGTATATGCCCTATTTTGTAGATAATAGAATTAAAACGTTTAATTTATCATTAAGTTATTGCTAATGGCTTATTTTGATATTTCAGGTAAAGGTTTTGAATATTGGACATCAGGTACGAGAGCAATTGACCAAAACAAATGGATATGGGTTCCTTACGGTAAAGCAGTAGACTACACAAAATGGTCCGCTGGCCAACCTAGTGATCCAGCTGGAGAAAAATGTTTACAAGTTTGGAATATTGGAGGAAAATTAGAATGGAACGATAGACCTTGCTGGGTACCTTTCTATTTTATTTGTGAAAGGTATAATTATCAAAATGTAGACTCAGATAAACCATGTAAAGCATAAGGTGTGAGAGAGTCGGGATTGTAATGATTTAGAAAACATTAAACACAATTATTAACTAATACATTGTATTATTTAATCGTAATTAGTTAACTTCAAATCCTTTAATATCCAATTTCGGGCAGTACAATTTCCTGCCCAGTTTCAAATTTTTCAACATCACGTTCTCTATTTATAACTGTAAATATAGAATAAACGATATTGGGTGCTTTTCGCCCATCCATTTTCTCATGCCATACTACGCAGTAGATATTTAACCCAAATTCATTATAGCTAGGAGAAAATGTTTCGTTGTAACATACGAATATTCTGAAATAAAACGGGTGTGGCAGTCCAGTGGGACTGCCGGTAGAAGTTATACTTCTATACACGTGTTCGCCGTTACAAATTTATATGGGAGTCAATCTGCACAATCATTACATATGTAATGCTATAGGTAAGAGCAGAAAGAGAAAAAGAATTGGTTAAATAGGTATATAGTGAATCGTTTGCTGTATATAAACATTTGACCTGTAACGGGAGTATAGTAAATGAAGGATTGTATCAATATTTTAATGAAAATATATATTTTTATTTTCATACATGTATAAAAGGAGTTAAATGCAAAAATTTTTTTTACACATACTCTACAGTAAAATTCATTGTTCATTATGTTATTAATATAAAAGTTACAATACAATAAATACACTGTAACATAATTTAATATAATAATACAATATAAATTAAAATGCAATATTCATAAGTATTTAAAACTGCCAATATACATAACTAACTTTACGAAGATAAAAATAAAAAACCAACAACTCGGATTATGTTTTCGGAATATGTAAATTTTCATTTTATTTTAAAATTTAGCATTTTTGCGTATATTACATATGGTTAATAAGATTAACCTGGGGTTTTTAAATATTCCAAAAATAAAAAAGGAAATTCATGTTGGGATTCGAACTGGCAAACACCAGTGTATGAACCAAACACGTAAAAGATTTGCCAATTAGACATGACACTAACGGATGTCAAAATTGACAGTTCTCGGTCAAACAGTGATTATTTTGAAATACAAAAGCCTAAAATAATTATAACGTTTAATAAATAATACAAAACATATCACATAAATAATAATATTAAAACATATTACATATATATATATATATATTATATATATATATATATATATATACATATATAATATTAAATATATATACAAAAGGGACATTTTTATTCTCGAGTGAGGAAGAGAGAGAACATATATCTTCTGTCTCTCTCTTACTCATTATCTTACATATGTAATGGTTTCACAGATTCACTCTTATTCATCCAACCCGCCGACCATGCGTATAGAAGTATAACTTCAATAATTATTTTAGGGTCGTTAAGGAAATCAATAATTTTCAAAGTCAACAACAGTGCTCATCTTGGTATTGAGAAAACTAAGGCAAGAGCACGGACTTTCTATTATTTGCCAGATTTGAGTTTTGATGTTGAACGTGAACATATTTTGTTGAAAAGTGTAAAATATGCTTAAAATCAATATAAGTATACCTCAGAGAGAACCTCCATTGAGCATGATTAATCAGATATTCCTTACTATAAAATAGGTGCAGATATTTTAAATTTTGGGGGTTCTAATTATCTATAGTATCATTATAATCATTATATAATAGTATCATTATTTTAGTGATTTTTTTCGGCATTGACTGTGATTTTCAAGTCCAGATTTATTAGAAAATGAAAGAACTATAAAATATTTAACTAAAGGACACACTTATATGTCAGTGGATGGGGTCTGTGGAAATATTGAAAGAAATGGAAATAGATAATGTTGAAAACGTGTATGATTTTAAAGATTTGAAAGATGTTATCAAATCCTGAAGAAAATCGTTAGAAGTTTTAGAGGTCGAAAAATTATACAAATGGGAGAAAAAAACAAGAGCCACTAAAAAAAACGATGATGCCTTGAAAAATTTTCAGATAAATCCAGTTGTAGAAGTGAAATTTAAAAAAGGATCAAAAACACTATATTTCGAAACAATCTTTGATGCCGAACTTAATTTTTGCAAAAAATGTATGCGAATTACAGAGAGGAATTCCAGAAGAGAAGAAAAAATATGCCGATAAGTCGAAGATATTTTTGGGAAAATATGTTTGTAAATAATGATTTATTAGATTTAATAACTTCTTTTAAACATTAAGTACTAAGAACGATAATAAGATTTTTTTGAAAATAATTTTTTTTAATATATATATTGTAGTTTTGTGCTGTTTTCTTTAAATATGAATTTAACCTCTAGTAAAATGTAAAACACATTTCTCGGACGTACTAGATGTAAGAGTATGTAGAGGTGCTAATATAGACTCTGACCACTACTTGTAAGAACAAAACTCAGGGCTCGGATATCAAACGATAAGAAAGCCAGAGCACAAAATCTACGAAATATAATACAGATGTGCTAAAATCTAAAGACGTTGGCGATAACTACTGGAAAATTTTAAACGAAAAGATGACAAGAATCGACGAAAATTTAAGTATACAAGAACACTGGACCAAATGCAAGGAAGCTATCCATACAGCGGCTAAATGCTTTTTAAATCCTAACCAGGCTAAAATAAGCGAAGATTGGATTGACGAAGAATGTAGATCCACTAATCAACAAAAAAGAAAGAGCCATACGAAAACGATCTAAACGAGGTTTTTAACGACCACAATAGAAAAGACTCGCGAAAATTCTACCAGAAGATAAACAGCTGCAGAAAAGAATTCAAACCCATAATAACAGCATGTAAAGACAGAGATGGTTCCATAATTAGTGACAAAGAAGATATAAGTACTAAATAGGTGGGGGAATCATTTTGAAGAACTGTTTAGCGCCAGTCGTGAAGAAGATCAAATAGAAATTACTTTGCCTGAAATGTACGAAAACTCTCAAGAGCCGTCCCCAGCGAAGAAGAAATTAGAAAAGCATTTCAAAACTAAAAAATAACAAAGCCCCTGATTTGGACAATCTTCCTGCCGAACTCTTAAAAAATGGTAGTGACACCCTTTTTAAACACATGCATTAATTAGTAACCGAAATTTGGCAACGGAAAGAAACGCCTGCAGACTGGAAATTAGGTGTAATGCATCCTTTCCACAAAAAGGGAGATACGATGGAGTGTTATAATTATAGAGGCATCACCCTACTTAAGGTGGCATATAAAGTATTGTTCAACGTATTGTACAGATGATTGATCCCTATGCTGAACAAATAGTTGGGAACTACCAGTGCGGTTTCCGACCCAATAAATCAGCAACTAATAAAGAAAGAATAATAAAGAATACAAAGAACAATAAATACAAAGAACAATAAAGAAAGACCATAATTATACCTCTTCATAAGAAAGGTTCAACAAATAATTGTAACAACTACAGGCTATTAGCTCTAATATCACACGCCAGTAAGGTGATCCTCTACATACTGCAACGGCGTCTAGAAAACTTCATAAGTTGGCAAATAGCATCTAACATTATCTTTGATAATGTTAGATGGGACAAACTATGGAACATATTGACGACAATGGGTGTACCTAAACACTTGACTCACCTTATTAGCAAACTGTATCAAGATAACCTGGCATATATTCGAATGGACGGATATCTGTCTGACAAATGCACTTTGGAGAAGGGAGTACGCCAAGGATGCGTTTTATCTCCCTTATTATTTAACATCTATTCGGAGTTCATAATGCGCAGAGTTTTGGATGGTTGGGAGGGAGGAGTAAACCTAGGTGGTGTTAAGATATCTAACTTGCGTTTCGCAGACGACACTACACTTCTAGCCTCTACTCCAGAAGAAATTACTAAATTATTAAAAAAACTCGAGGTAGAAAGTGCTAAATTTGAACTCATGGTTAACTACAACAAAACCAAAATCATGGTTATTGATCGCCAACAACAGTTTCCTGAATCCCAAACTATTGCGGGATGCGAGGTAGTCTCATCTATGATATATCTTGGAGCTCTAGTTAACAACACAGGCAGTTGTGAATCCGAAATTAGAAGACGCATTCAACTAGCAAGAGCAGCAATGAGTGAACTAAACGGGGTCTGGCGTGATCGTCACATTACTATGACAAACAAAAAGAGACTCGTTTCAACTCTGGTCTTTTTCATATTTTACTATGCATGCGAGACATGGACAGTCAAAGAATCAGATCGACGACGTATAGACGCCTTTGAAATGTGGACATGGAGACGCCTGCTTCGAATTCCATGGACGGCTCGCCGTACAAATATCTCGGTTCTGCATGAAATTAAACCGGATCAGCGTCTCTCCAGTAGCGTTTACTCTAGAATTTTAAAGTTCTTTGGCCATATCCATCGAAGTGATCACAAAATGAAGCGGTTGGTGGTCCAAGGAAGGCCTCAGACTCAACGCCAACGCGGAAGATCTCCACAGCGATGGGCGGACGTTACTAAAAAGCTTCTCAATAAACAGTATACTGAGGCAATACATATAACTGATGACCGCGACCAGTGGAGAAATATTATCAATCAAACTGTCCGAGCTGCTGAAGCCCAATTATGAACCACAACACATCTACTAAGATGTTAATGACTGTGATGATGATGAAATCAATAACGGATCAAATATTCACAGTCAGGCAGATTCTTGAAAAAACGCTTGAGTTTGGAGTCGACACACACCACATATTCGTGGATTTCAAAGCCGTATACGACTCAAGGAACAGACAAAAACTTCTACAGGCTATGGTGGAATTTTAAATGCCGCATTATCTTGTTCAACTAACGGAACTTACACTCACAGGAGTAGAGAGTGTAGTCAGAATCTAAAACGACTTTTCAAGACTCTTCCATTGTAAAAATGGACTGAAACAGGGAGATGGACTGTCATGTCTCTTATTTAACCTTGCACTAGAAAAAGTAATTCGAGAGGGCCATATTAATACGAATAGATTATCTTTTAATAAATCTGTACAAGTGGTCGGATATGCAGATGACATAGACATTATTGTTAGGTCCACAGAATCTCTGATCGAAGCATTTCGATCATTAAGGGCGTCTGCACTGGGAATGGGATTAAAAATAAACGCACAGAAAACCAAGTATATGTATTGTGCTCGATTAGGCAACCAGATATCTAGACTATTAATTGATCATCTGGAACTGGAAGGTGTAGACACCTTTGTCTACCTGGGCTGGCTGCTGACCAAAGACAACAATGTCAGCGAAGAAATTAAAACAAGAATAGTGCTTGCCAATAAGTGCTATTATGGATTGAGGAAACAATGGCCCCAAAACTACCCAGAAAAATTAAAGTTACTATATATAAAACACTAATAAAGCCAGTGTTAACATACGGGTCAGAAACGTGGTCACTTACACAGAACGACCAAGAGTTGCGAGAAAAATTCTAAGGAAAATATCTTGGAGAAATCCAAGAACAGGGTTTGTGGCGTGGACGCTACATTGTAAAATGTATTAAACTAGCACGCCTTCGATGGATAGGACATGTAATTAGGCGAGATGAAGATGCAACGATCAGAAAAAATTTCAACCAAATAAGACCAGAAGATGATCTAAAATCCATCCGAGTTAAAGCATGGAGAAAAGTTGCCAGAGACAGGGGCGAATGGAAGATTGTTCTGAAAAAGCCATTGGCCTATAACGAGCAGTAATGCCCCTGATGATGATGAAAATATAAAACACAATATCTGTTTTCACCTTTGTTAATCTACAAATTTGTAAAGGCGGCAACTTTTTTGAACAAGTTTTGAACGTACTTACAGTTAAGTTAATTACATTTTTATAGAAACGTATACTTTTGCAGAAAATGTGTTTTTTCATTATTTGTTTAAGAATTATAATAATTTTATAAATAAGTAAGTATAGATGGTTTTATTACTTTATTTATTATTCTTGTAACAAACGTAATGCATTTCAGTTGTTAGGTTACATCGTTGCTAGTGGCATCTCAACAGGCACACTGTTCTTGGCCTTCTTATTAAAAGTTAAAATAAATGAAAAAAAGAGTAAGAGAATAAGAAAAAGAAAGGTAAATGGCATATGCTTACTTGTGACAGGAGGTATCAAAGACAGTATCACGTAGGTATCATCTGCGATATCAAAATTTGTAAAAACATCAAGATTGAGATGGTTGACACGTTTATAAAGAATTAAAGAAGAAAAAATAGTAGTAGAAGTAGAAAAGGACCTTAAAGCGAAAGGTAGATATCCAAAATAAAATACGCAATATAATATAATAAAAATAAATTTATTAACATAATAAGATTAAACAAACTTTAGCAAAATAACATGATAAAATATTCGATATATATAAAATTAATCTCTTAATGGTCAATAATATATTATCGTTTGTCAGAATGTAACAAATTATATACAGATATGCTAACATTCTGAACGTATTAATTTAAAAATAACGTGTACAATAAAATATAATCTTTTTGGGATGAAACAAAAATACCTTTCAAATATTAGAAAATAAATAATTTATTAACATTTTAGCTTTAGTATCCTTTCAGTGTATTTGTTAGAAGGTGATTTGTTAATAAATATTACCAAAATGCTGAAATATTATCACTTAAAACACTGGTATTAGTAATATTTCAATTGAGTTTATACAAAGATCCATATATATATATATATATATATATATATATATATATATATATATATATATAATAGTAAGGGATACTAAGGGGTAATGGAGCACTAAACTGAAAATCATACGCATTTAGAATTTAGGGTTCTGGGAAAACCAGATATAAGAAATGGACATGATAGTGCCTAACGTGAGTATGTGGCATCACAATAAAAAAATGTAGATAATAGAGACATATTTGAAATCAATTAACTAATTGCATCAAATCTGTAGTGCTTTTGTATTAGCTCTACAAATTCATGAGTGAAATTAAAAATCATGTAAAATTGACCATTTTTATAGCAATTTAGGACGTTGAAACAATAAATGGTTATTACTTTAAGATATAAGTATACGTTATGGTAATATATCTTAAAGTTTCTGAGGTTACCCTAGATCTGAGAAGCATTTGCCTGAACAATTATCAAATGCCCTTATACAATAAAAAAGTGAATTTTTGGCAGTTTCTATGAAAAATTTCAAACACACTTTTCTTGAAAACATGACCTGTAGCAATAAACTATGTACAGATTCGAGATCAGCTCATCCCATTTCCTATAGGACACCTATTAAACTTACCAACTTCATAAAAAAAAATGTAGGCCTGTGTTATCATAAATTTATAAATTGTGTACTATTGTAGGAATAATTCAAATAACAACTTTTTAAAGTGAAAGGAGTTTTGAAAAGTATAATGAATCAACACGGCCTGACAACATTTCCAATAGTGTCTATTGAAAAGAAAATGATAAAAAAATCATAATTTCAATGAAGAGATCATAAATAATTTTGATAGTGTCAAAAATAGTAGAGCCAATTTTATCTACAAATGATAATAATACTGTGTAATATTAATTTTCTTTTTTTTAATTATTTTTTACACCAAATGTAAAGTCACTGCTATGTGCTTTCGTGAAAAAGACCATGAGTGTTTTACATGAAAGGACAAAACAACATGGGTGGCCACTGTTATGAACTTCTACGAAGGTCATGGTTGCATCAAGATCTATTTCAGAACCTATCGCAGAATTGAGTAGGCTCCAGAGATGTTGGTAGAGTAATCACCTATGAGGATGTATGACAACAGATTAAAATGCAAGTTTTAAGACAATGAACAGGACAGGGTACTAAAAGAGACACCGTAAAAAGATCGTAGAATTAAGTAGGCAGATATTTTTGGCGTAATTTTCTTTTAAAAATAATAAAATAAAGAAAATTTCTTTATACAAGCTAAAAAATTATCAGACACACGCAGTCCAAACAATCAAATGGTAGATAAAGGCTATATATGAGATATAAAAATATATAAATTGGAGATAAAAGTATTTTGGAGAATAGAAATAAATAAAAAACGACCCAGAGACATACAAAAATACAAAAATATGCAAAAAAAGGATAAACTAAGATCTCATCTCAGATCAAACCTAAATGAAAATAATGACAAAATGTTGTCACTTCTACAATGTTTATAGAACAAACAAAAAAGAAAATTATATTTATAACATTTAAGACCTTTGATTTGCATTAATATTTTGTTACTATCGATTCCTTCTGACCTAACTCTATTCTAAATCACAGTACCACCAACAAAACACAAAAATTAATGAGACGTGATTTTTCTTTAATATATATGTAAGTATGGTATTTAAATAAGATCACAGGGAAAGAGAACAAAAAATAATTAATTTAATCGAATGTGGTAATACTAATAACAATTACTTTTCTACACGTCTGAAAGAAAAAGCAGTGTTCGATATTTTATACGTTTTAAGATGTGTTAATTCATGTACGTGTTTAGGTATTTAAACATATAACACTAGTTTTAAATATTATGTACCTGCATATTAATTGGAAATATAGCTACCTACAAAAATATACATTCTCCATAGTATTATTAAAAAAAATGCAGGATTAATTTAGTATGAAAACAAACTTTAATAATAAATATTTTAAATATATAATATATTCTGATTTCTATTTTTATAATCTTCTAACATACGTTTGCTTTTTTACTCTTTTATGTGAGATTTATTCCCTATACTCTAATTTGTTAGAATAATAAACTCATTTAAAACTAGTCTAATTTTCAAAAAATATTTTTGATATCATCCAATATCACTAAATTTTAATATATATTCTAGATTCTTCCAGATCAGCTGGGTAGCTCCAAACTTAGAAATAGGTCCTTTTTGCTGAAATACTCTTTAAATCGTATAGCTGCATACCTGAAACAAACATAAAATTGTATAAATGTACAAGTTCCCGTTGATTTATGGCTTTAATTGTGACTAAACATTTCATTTCCGTCAGTCTTGCTTTTACAACATTTACAACATTAAGAATATACGGCACTAAATCCCGGTTGTAAATTATTCTTTAGTTATCAGTCTACTGTCCTTCTTTTTCCATATAACAACCTTCCCAATGTGAACATTACACCAAAATATCAACGAGAAGTATGTTTTAGTTTGTCAATGAATTTTCTCGTTATATTATAGATATATTGTCTATCTTTCAGTTTCCACATTTTCATCTTAAATAACGACAACTTTCTTTTCACCATTTTTTTCTATAGAAGAAATACCCCCAATTATTGTAAAAGTTCTTTCTCTTACAATTAAAAAGATTTTGTCATAAGAAAGCAGTTTCTTAAACATTTTCAAACTCTCTTGATATTCTGTTGATCTTTAATTAACTTAGGATTTTAGTTAAAAAAAAAAACAATAAAGAACAAAACTATACAATAAATATAACAACGAGTGAATCTACTACCATAAAGAGTTCAGTAGAAATTCTAGAGGAAACTACTTAGGAAAAACCTTCATTGAAAAAGCGAAGACATTATCTTAGTGACTTTGTTGAACAAGAATCATTTTACAGAGATCAGGAATATAAAGTGGTAGTAAACAAATTATTTCAAAAGAAAAAAAAATTAATCAAAATGTTGCAACAACATAGAAGGCAATAAACTTGAAAGTAAGTTAACAAATCTAGTGTATTTTGTGGTCCATAAATAGATTTATATACATAATTTTTCCACTAAAATGGAACTTCCATCCACAAGTAAAATTTTTATCCTTTAAATTTATTTTTCATTATTAAACAAGAAGAGGTAGGTACACTTTCAAATGAAACATTTATTTTTACAAAATTACTTTAATTTGAAAATACTCGTTAATTACTTTGCTTAATGATTTATCTTCCATATTTTTTACAAAATATCGCAGTTTTATTAAAACTTATTTAAAATTGAGTAATTTTAGTAGGGCTTTTCGAAAAATCCAATCTAACTTTAGAGTTCTTGTCATATTGTGACGTCACTTGCGCAGAAGGTGTTTGCTTCAACGATTCGGTACAGGGCGTGTCTATAAGTTTTAATGGTCTAAGGTTGATAGTACACAACGTTGGGATTAAAACCAACAAGTACCACAAATATTATGAAAATTCATGCCATAATAAAACAGTTTCTGATTAAAACAGTTTCAGATAGTTATTAAAATTATAAGAATTGAGCTATAAAGCGTAATTAAATGACTATTAGTTTAAGATTTCATTAGTAAAACAAATAAGTAGAATAATAGAAAAATCAAATAAATTACCTATATACCTGTAATAAAATATTTTTATTAAAATACCTACCCCATGTAATCAAAGCTAATTGAGGAATGTTCCGCCTGCACCAATGACCAAACACCCCAAAAGATATGTGTTACTAACGAAGACTTGTTTATTTGAACGTACATTTTTTCAATTTCTTTACTAGATGGTTCTTGTCCATTATATTCCTTCAGATATACCTTTATCCATTTTGTTTGAAAGTCTTTGTTCGGATATAAGGAGTAATCAATTTCATCTATACCTAAAAATATTTAAATTGTGATTTTAATATATATGTATATGTTTGTAAACTTTTACTTTTCTTATCAAAATGTTACTCTATTTTAGTAGAATTTAGTAGAATAGATTTCCCAATTAAATATTGACCAGGGTCGATAATTTTTGAAACCAAAAAAAAATTATATTAGAATGAAACGTATTGGAAAAGAAGAGAATATACTAAAATTTTAAGAAAAAATAAATTACACTCCATCCGATGTCAGGAAGTGTGGGGTGGGGGGTTTAAGGGTAAAAATCGGTTTATCGCGATTTTCAGCGAAACTACAGGTGCTATGGAAAAAAGTTAAATAGCAAAGTTGTAGGTAACAAGAAGATCTACAACTTTTGTATTTACACTTTTTTCACATACCCTCAAAATTTTTGTGGAGAATTCAATTTCAATTTTTGATTTTTTATTTTTATCTTAAAAAAAATTTTTCCTTTGCGCAATTTGATGAAAACTTGCCTTAGTATGTATCAAATACACTGTAATTTTTTGGAATTAAAAAATTTATTTTGTTACCTGATATTGATTTATTATCGAAAAAACACCCTAATTTTCAGTCGAAAATTCACTCGTCAAAATATCAGCTTTTTTAAAAAAGTCGGTGGGCTTTTTGTTCGTTGAAATCTCTACTTTTCGATAGTGTAAAAGAATGTACATCACTATGGGAAATGTTCACAAAAAACGCAAAAAACGAAGAAAACTCGAATCGAACAATTTTTTTTTCAGTGAAACAATTTTACAGTGAAAAAAGTGTAAATACAAAAGCTGTAGATCTTTTTATTACCTACAACTTTGCTATTTAACTTTTTTCCATAGCACTTGTAGTTTCGCCGAAAATCGCGATAAACCGATTTTTAACCTTAAGCCACCCCCTCCCCACTTCCCGACCTCGGATGGAGTGTAATTTATTTTTTCTTCCAATTTTAGCATATTCTTTTATTTTTCCAATAGGTTTCATTCCACTATATTTTTTTTTACTTTTTACCTTTTTAAAGGCTTCGACACTGGTCTAATATGTTTACTTTATCGAATACAAAAAGGAAGAAACATATTTTCTAGAGGCTTTAATAAATACAAAAGCATTGTGACTTTTTCTATTTAATATCTACTCACAATATGTTAAGAGTAGTTTTAAATAACCATAAAAAAAATGCATTTTTTTATTTATTTATTTAATGTCGTCCGCACCACTGAAGTTATAAACGACAACAATGGAAAATAGATAATAAAACAAAGAAAGGTTATTATATTAATTACATACTAACATAAACAAAATTACGTATTACAGTGAACAATGTGGACTCAATATAAAAGTTAAGAAGACAAAGCTTATAATAATTAGCAAGAAAAGGATAACAGAAGGTCAACTCTACGTCAACCAATTCCCTGTAGAAACAGTGACGCTCTACATTTACCTCACCACCATAATAAATGAAGAATGGACCAACAACCAATAGATTAGGATAAGAGCACGGAAAGGCTAAATCCACCTTCAATCGGATAACGGCCTTCTGTAAGAGTCACAACTTCTCTCTTGATACAAAAGTAAAAATGCTGCGATGCAACGTCTTCTCTGTCCTTTTTATGGTGTTGAATCGTGGACCATGAACGAAGATATATGCAGAAAACTAAAAGCATTTGAGATGTGGCTATATCAGAGAATGCTTAAGATTCCGTGGACTGACCGAGTCACAAATGAGGAGGTCCTCAGAAGAATAAGAACCGAGAGGAACTCACCACCATCAAATCTCAAATGTTACAATTCTTCGGACATATTATGCGAAATGAACCCAGATATACTCTCCTTCAAGCCATCCTGCAAGGTAAAATTTTTAGAAAACGAGGACCAGGAAGAAGAAGAACATCCTGGTTAAAGAACCTCAGAATCTGGTTCAATACAACATATGTGCAGCTGTTCCGCACTACTGCAGTTAAGATAAAGATTGCCATGATGATCGCCAACATTGGTAACGGATAGGCACATCAAGAAGAAGAACTAACATGTAAGAAGATTGATATAATATGTAATTTGTGATACAAACTAGATTCTAATTTAAATATATTTTATGCCTATAACGGTTAAAAACTTTATAATGTTGTTTAGATGATTATAAGCTCGCCTCTGTCGATGAGAAGGTTGAGTTTACTTCTCGTTTCCTGGAAAATTTAACATTCGGTTAAAATATGTGTTACTGTACTGTTGGTTTGACACTGGTTGCAGTATGGGGGTTGTCTCTTGTGATTTGGTAAAGGTGTGTATGGCGTGTGTGACCAAGTCGGAGTTGAGTAAAGATGACTTGTTTTTTCTAGGATTTTTTTTAAGCACAATTTAAGATCACTTAACACTATTTTACTTAGTTGAAATTGACCATCACTTGTCGCTGCTTCGTGAGCTCGACGGTCCACAACCTCGTTACTTATTTTCCTTTGCAACATTTTGAAGTTCTTTGTAAATGTCTTTATGAATAGGGTTGCTGGAGTATATGTTTTGGATGTCACAAAAGGCGTTCATTGAGTCAGTTATGGTTGTGTAATTTCTTTGGTCCGTTTTGTTAATGAATTTTAGAGCTTCAAGTATTGCGTATAGTTCTGCATTGGATATAGTCCATTTGTTATGCAACTTAAATTTAGTAATATGAGGATTAGAGAAAATTGCTGCCCCCACTCCCTCCGTTATTTGTGATGCATCTGTGTAGATATGTCGGTAGTCGCTAAATATATCCATAATATCTTTGAAGTGATTTATTAATATGGCTGGTGGGGATTTACGTTTATTAAATTTTGATAGATCTGTGATCACTGGTGGTTTATTTACAGTCCATGGAGGAGGAGTGTTTTCGGAAGGGTGGTATATTGTCGGGAATATTATGCTATATTTATGAAGTAATCGGTTAGTTCGTTCATAGAAAGGCGGATTGCATTGAGGGTGAGATGAGAAGTAGTGGCTGAAACGATTGTTATGAACGTTATGGGAGGCTAGGTTATCTGGAGAGAATAGAACTTTACAAGCAAACGACAAACTTAAAAAATCTCTTCTAAATTCTAGAGGGGTTTGCCCTGACTTACTGCATATACTTAATATGGGGCTAACAAGATAATTCTAGATCACCAATTCAAGTTCTATAAAAAACATGGGACAATTGAGCAAGTGCATAGAGTAGTTAAACAAATCGATAAGGACCTGAATGGTAAAAGAGTGCGGTGTTTCTTAATGTATCTTAGGCATTCGACAAGTTATGACACGAAAGGTTGCTAAGCAAACTAAAGAAACCATTGTCCCATCCACACTCTGAGCTATTAAAATCATATCTGACAAACAGATACTTCAAAATGAAACATGAGAATCAGACAACAGACCTACATGCAATAAACTGTTCCTCGAAGCAGAGTACTTGGACCAATCATTTTACTTATGTAGACTGCAGATGTGCATACAACACGAATAATTACCGTTGCATCATTTACTGATGTTTTTAGCACCACACGCCGACATATCATCAACTTTTACGAATCTACAAACTATTGGTCTTACTAAGGTCTAAAACTGGCTTAAAAGATGGCGTATTACAGAATATGAATTTAAATCTACTCATGTGACGTTTACCGTTCGAAGAAAAACGTATCCACTTGTACTTAATAACTACCAATAACCACAATGCGATAGTGTCAAATACCTCAGCATGCATCTGGTTCGACGTTCATTATGGAGAGAAAACATATTCGCCAAGTTCAAGCAACTTGGAAGTTGAACAGCTTACTGGCCGAAGTAAAACCATCTTAAAACTTGTGTGGACCTACGGCATCCAGCTACAGAGTACTATTAGTGACACCAACTTACCAATTTTACAAAAATTAAAAAATATAGTACAGCGAGCTATCTTTAAAGCCCTCTACTACCTCTCCAACGAAATTACCGAACGTTACATTCCATTAGAATCCGAAAAGGATACTATTCATCGGTTTAGTGATACTTACTGTGAAAGAGTGTCAGTACATACAAACCGGTTACCACCAAACTAAACGTACCAGATGTCAATGAAATTCTAAGGCTAAAACGTCTATGGCCATTCAACCATAAATACATTTATATTCTAAGACATAAAAAGCATAGACAATTGTAAACTTAAGTTTAGTTACATTTTAAAGAAGATCACTTACTGCAGTGACACTCTGCATGCCATCAATCCTCTTTATAGAAAAACGCTTATTACCCTTGGCAGATTGCAGATCTCTCTAGGAGTTACATAAAAAACTACTATGCAATTTATCTGCAGCAAAAATATTAATTAAGGCTTCGAAGACAAATTCTAAGATACTATATTTCATAACTTTATGTGTAGTTTCAGAATTCAGAATAAATAAGAACATCCTTAGAAAGAAAAAAACTTTATAGACCAGCTGTAAATAAGATCAAGAGCATTGCACTTATGCACAAAATAGTGTAAAAGAGCAGTCTGTAGTGAAATATATGTTTTTTAAGATGCAGGAAATTTTCTTTTTTCATATGCTTTGAAATTTTTGAATTTCAAGATTATTGCCATTCATCGAAACTTAATTTCAAATAAAAATTCTTTGTTGTGCATTTACTTCACTGTAAGATAGTTCATATTTTTTATTTATTTTCTTACATTTAGTAATTTGCTCAAAATGTTCTTTCGTTCGATTGATATATTTATATCATTTCTGTATGTGCTGGAAATTCCAAATTTTTCCCAAATAACAAGTGTAAGTACCTCGAATGTCGAATGTCAATATAACTTGAGTCATTATTATTCAGGTTCATAGATAAAGTGTTCTTTCGTAATTTATATCTAAAGCTATCTATCTATTGGACCAAGAATGAAATAAATATAAATAATACTATCCTTTCTTCCAACGCATAAAATATATATTAACTGTTTCGGTAACATTCACACCTTTGAACCGACAAATCCAAACATTGACTTTATGATACAGAAAACGTCAATACCTACACT